TACGACTATACATGAGATTCAGCTGTGCTGAAGTTGGTTCAAGCCCAGGTAAACTGGGCTGACACAGACGGGACATGCTCCAGGACCACGAGTTGTAAAGTCCTGCAGATGACCCCACGAGTCACTGCTCTGTCTTCCTTACACTCCAGTACTCTTCTAGAACAAATTACAATTGTTTTTGCTGGTTACACTTGTAAGACTTTCTCTATCCATGCAGACTAAAGGCTTAATTCCTCATGGGAAAACACCTTCTTCCTCAGAGTCTCTTTTCACATTAACACCCATTCCTTATAGCATCTATGCTGTACTGAGTCATGAGAACGTGCCTTTTCATTACACTGACATCATTAACAACCACTTCAATAACACTCTGACCATAACTGGATCATAACACTGACCACGAATCTGTTCACACCAGGAACTAAACCAGGAGCACAGCTACAGCAGGGCAGCACAGAGGGTGCAGCTGCAGCTCTACAGAACCAGGGTGCACATCCCACGTGGAACTGCCCTCGGGGTGAACCCCCTTACCTGAGCACAGCTGTTCAATCTTGGTCAGCGTCAGCTGCAGAGACTCATTGATCCACGCCAGCATGTCATGTCGGCTCAAGTTATCGCTGGTCACTGAAGTAGAATACACATTCACTGCCATTTTCTGAAAGACAGAACGAGGTGTGAGTGCCACAGACGCTGGGCTGCGGTGGAGCCGTTTCCTTTGGAGCCTTCCCGACCCATCAGCGAGTGAATCGCGACGCAACTGCGGGCTGCCAGCAGCTGGGAGGACCCTCCCGCACCACCACTGCAAAGGGCTCGGCTCCGGGATTTTTGACGAAAAATCAGCACCGAGGCGCTCACGTGGGAACCGCTGAAAGGAACCACGGCTGCGGCAAGTTACTCATCCCTCTCCCCAGCGCCACCGGGGACGGCTGAGGCGCTTCCTGCCCGGCCACGGTATCTCCCTGGGGATCAATACCGAGCGGCCGGTCCCCGCCCAGCCCCGCCGGCACAAAGCGGAGCCGCCGGTGCAGCTGCCGCCGGGCAGGGCCCCCCACGCTTCGGGCGGGGCACGGCCCGCGCTCCCCCCGCTCCTACTCCTCACC